CTCGTGTGCCTAATAGTGCCCACTGCTCCTGTTCAAAGCTCCGCAGCAATACTCGAGACACGTACCTTACGCAAGTCAACGATCATGCGGCATGCTGTCTCCGCCACTATCCCGGATGTTATTTCTCCCCCTCCCCAGATAATACCCATCACACCCACGGCCCACCTCGTCACCGAATTTAGCATTGAGCAGCACGAAGCCCATTCCAATAACGCTCATCCTTCACGCAACTAACGAAAGGAACATGGAGAAATGCAAATATGGTAGCCAGGATGCAAGCCCGGCAAAACGCGCCGTGACAACACCGCGCGACTCTGCACATCACATACCCTCGATGCGTCCCGTATAAGCAGTGGCATCCCATCAATTCAGGCACTTAATCTGTGGACCAGAACCTGGAACGACAACACAAAATCACCGAATGCTCGCATGAACAAAACGAGCCGTGACGATCCACCATCGCGATCTGCTGCGGCAAACGTGTATCAAGCCCCCTGTGTTCTATTGTTCACCACCCATTGCGAGGCATTACGGGGAGGCTGGAAACACGAAGGGCTGTAGACACAATGGACAGAAATCGCGTTCGCGTGACACAGAAGGCGCCGAAACCATATTTTGGGCCCCCGCGCGAACCTCGGCAAACCCACCCAGCGCACGGGTTTTGCGGATGAAGGCCGCGGGGAGACACAAGATGCGCACACACTCAACACATGTTTTTGGAAATTGCCGGGTCGTAACAATACGCCCGGCAAACAAAACAAACATGTTTTCGTCGCCACACGGGACCGCTACATGGCCATCTGTAAAATCACAACAGCTCGCGCAGAAGAAACACGACAATAATATTGACGTGGCTTCGCGGGGCAACATGCGCGACCAGAGGTGTTAACACATTATCTTGCATCACAGCGTTTTTGGCGTAGCCACTCGGGCCCGCCGCTATTCCCGCATACGGATACACAAACGACATGCCCGAATACCGCATACACTTTTTTGGGGGCCAGCCGCGGATGGCAACCGCGCGACGCAATTTCATGACAACAGAATTATTGGCCCGATGGAATTAACAAACAAATTGCAATGTGCCGCGCGACCCTCCCCCCACACACAAGCCACTGGAACAAAACCAAAAGGATTGGCCACCGCCGCACAAGAACACGTCATCGGAAGGGCCCCTTTGAACGGCCCGCCTGGGCCAAGCAAGGAAACATAAGCGGATGGAAACATACAGATTTGTGCCAAGGCCTGGGCGGGCGCGCGCGGGGCCCTTGAAAAAAGACAAGAGGGGGTGACTTCCCAAAGGGATTGCACTACCCTTTATCAAAACTGGCGTGGCCAGACGGAAGACAGACATTCGAAAGCCCAGAGCATGAAATACAAACGAACCCAGCCTGCTTATTTGTTTCCAGCATCCCCGTACGTGGCCAACCCCACACACACACCGGATGCAAAACAGGCGCTCATCTTGGCACCAGCTGTTCCACAGGTTCTGCTCGCCAAAGCCAAGGGCACTTGCGGATATAGAGGCTTATCACATGAAGGCGCGAGTTGGGTGTTCCCGAACTGCCTCGCACCACTCAAGGCCGTTAAGGCTGACACTCTTTCGGCGAAACAGCTCTCTATCGGAATACCTCAGGCTGACGCTGTCAACTGTGCCACTGGGGCTGCGGCCGCAGTCTCCCCCCCGTCTACCAAGACTGCTGCAAGCGCCCCCCCTTTCTGACTCGTACGGTGGCACGGGCACAGAAGGCTTGGCCGAGGACGTAGCTTTGACCCTTGCAGGCAAGACGCGAAGGAACCGCTGCATAAAGCACAGGACCTACATGGGGGCCATCGATCGGTGGACTCTGGGCTGCACCGCTGCAGCCAGCAGAGCGAGTGAGGCAAGAGGGGCTGAGGTGAACAGTGTGAAGGTGGCGACTGCGATGTCTCGGACGAATATGGCTCACGACAGTGAAAACACACGTATGTGTATATCTGTGTATAAATATATAATGAGAGAGAGGGAGAAAGCAAAAAAAAGACACGGAGAGAGAGAGAGAGAGAGACATATATATATATATATATATATAGAGGGAGAGAGAGAGAGAGAGAGAGAAAAAGAAAAAACAAAAAAAGACAGACATCGCCTGGAGAGGCCGCATCTCGTCCTCAGTCTCATCGCTCTCCTCCTCCAACTCACCCTCCTCTTCCTTCTCCTTCTTGTCCTGCTTCGCTTCCTCCTTCCCCACCTCCTCCACCATCTCCGACTGCTCCTTACTCTGCTTACGCACTTCACAACCCGCACGCCAGCCAAGTCTTCCATCGCATATTCCTCTTCTCCGCTGTGTTTATGCAGCCCTTCTGCTCAATTCTAAATTGCGTTGCGTCATGGCTGTGCGACAAAAAACTGAAACGGGTAGTCCCTGTCAAGTGTCCGGCGGCCCATTGAACGCCGAACCAAAAAGCTTCGGCACCCTGGTAGCATACACGAGATGACACGTAGTACTCACATGCGAATGGTATGTGATATCGTGATCCAATATACAACTTGCCGATCCTCTGTTCACTGTCAATGGTGTCTTTGTCTCTCTTCCTCTCTCTCTCTCTCTCTCTCTCCCACTCTCCGCCTCTCAAACGTAGGCCATGCCATTTGTTGTCGGGCCTAGTCCCCATACCACTTATCACCTAGTGGACTTATCAAGGCGCGCGAGGCTAGAATCACGCTTCGGCGAAATCTGATCTCGCGACTGATATAATCTCGCTGTCGTGAATTTGTTTCACCATCCTTTCCTCGGCTGAATCGCCTGCACTTTCTCGCTCTCAGTGGACCGAACTGCTAACCTGATGTGCAAACCCTGTTTTCCCCGGCTCGCCAGTCAACGTCAACATGAAACCCACCAACCCTCTGGGCTGAGATGGTTCTGCGCGTTTCCTCTTCCATCCTGCCCCATTGTTTCCGTAAAGGGAGGGGTTAGCATTGCTCCTTAGTTCCGAAAGTACCCAGACGATGTACCCAACCCGTGCGCCCTTGCGCAACGTGTAGTCAAAATAGCCGGGAAGAGTTTATAGGGGGTGACGACGTGACACGGAATTATCGTTGTTGCGAACGCTACTCTGGAGGCTCCCGAGCTGCGCGACTCGCGAGCTGCCAGCACGTCTGCATCTCTAAAAAGTGGCGTCGGTTTCGCAGTTCGCAGCCCTATCAGGGATGGCGAGGTCCCGCTCGGATCTGCGAAGCACCGCATTCAGCTGCCCCACAGCAACCCTCGAGAAAAACTACAATGTCGCAATTCGCGGCCCACCAAAGATGGTAAGGTCCCGCTCTGATCTGCGCAGCACCGCACTAAGATGGACCCCCACGCAGCCCTCGAGAGTGGCGACATGTGGCGACTGCTTCGCACATCGCACCACCCCCAGGGATGGCGCGATCCCGCTCGGATCTGCTCATCATCGCACTAGCTGGGCCCCCCAGCAGCCCTCGAAAATTTCGACAGCTTCGGAATTCGCACCCCCTCCCGCAGACGGCGACGACCCGCTCTGATCTGCGTGGAACCGCACTAAGCTGCCCCCCCGACGGCCCTCGAAAGTGGCGGCACTTTCACAAATCGCACCCCCCCAGGGATGGCGAAGGTCCCGCTCAGCTCTGCGTAGCACCGCACTACGATGCTCCCCCCCCCAGCAGCTCTCGAACGTGGCGATAGGTTCGCCAATCGCAGCCCCTCAAGGATGGCGAGGTCCCGCTCGGATCTGTTTAGCACCGCACCAAGTTGGACCACCCAGCAACCCTCGAATGTGGCGACAGCGTCGTAGATCGCAACCACGTTTCGCTCAGATCTATTTAGCACCGCATTAAGCTGCCCCCCGCCCCGCAGTTTTTGAAAGTAGCGACAGTTTCGCAATTCATGCCCCCCCCCACCTCAGAGATGGTGAGATCCCATTCTGATCTGCGTAGCACCGCACTAAGCTCGACCCCCCCCTCCACGCAACCCTCCAAAGTGGCGGCGCTTTCGCAGATCGCGGCCCCCCAAGGATGGCGAGGTCCCGCTCTGATCTGCGTAACACGCATTAAGCGGGACCCCCCCAGCAGCCCCCGAACGTGGCGACAATTTCACAAATCGCAGCCCACACAAGGATGGGGAGGTCCCGCCCTGCTCTGCGTAGCACTGCACTAAGCTGCCCCCACCCCCTAGTAGCCCTCAAAACTGGCGATGGTTTCGCTAATGGCAGCCCCCCAGGGATGGCGAGGTCCCGCTCGGATCTGCTTAGCACCGCACGGATGCTGCTGGCGCGGAGCCCGTCGCAGCGAGGAGCGCCCCGACCCCCCGTGCCTTCTGCCATGGGCGCCATGGAACCGACCGCGCGCGTATCTGCCCTGTCGCAGTTAAGCCTCTGACATGCATAGCGGGAATGCCGCATGGACATCCTGTGGGTGATAAGGCGATCAGGGGGGGGAAATTCGCCGGCCCAACGGGCCAGGGCGTGCTAAGATCTCCGGTACCTGGTTAACAGTATTTCTAGTTCGCGCGCGCGGGGCGGCCCCTGGGGGTCCCCGGACGAAAAGTACCCCGGCAAGGTCCCGGCAAGGTCGGGTCAGAGATGCCGGAGTTCTGTTTCGGAGTCCAAGAGGGCTCCAGATCGGTCCAAGAGGGCCCCGAGAAGCTTTCTAGACGGTCCAAGAGAGGCCCGAGACGGCCAAAGATCGCCCGAAGACGCCCCAGATGGCCCCAAGACAGCCCAAGAGGCCTCCAAGACGCTCCAAGGGCCTTCCAAGAGGCCTCCGAAGAGGGCCCCAAGTTGCCAAAATCGTTGATTTTCATTGGTTTTTTCGATGTTTTTTTGCGTTCTGGCCTTTTCGCTTCCGGACGCTCCAAGAGGGCCCAAGAGGCCTTCAAGACTGCTCCAAGACGGCCCACGAGGCTCCCAAGACGGCCCCGGAGCGGCCCAAGAGCGCCCCCCAGACGGCCCAAGTGCTGCCCAAGGCGGACCAAGAGGCCCCAAGACGGGCCCAAGAGGGGCTCAAGAAGGGAACCGAGAACTGAAAAATCGAGCCCTCCGCCCCAGAAGGCGCCCAGGACCCCGAAAGAGGCCCCAAGAGACTCTCCAAGACACCCCCAAGACGCCCCAATAAGCTCCCGTGAGGCCCCAAGAGGACCAACAACGTCAGGCCCCAGGCCCCAAGAGGACCAACAAATACCGCCAAGAGCCCGCCGAAAGCCCCCCAAGAGACCGTCACGAGAGCTCAGGAGGCCCCCTGGAGGCCTCCCGAGTTCTCCAAGAGGCCTAAAAAGAGGCGCCAAGAGGCCCCAAACGGCCCCACCGAGGCTCCAAGAGGCCACGAACGCGCAAACAAACGCCTGCGATGGCACAATACGGGCCGGCGGAATGAGCGAAGCGATTAAATAAACATCATCTTTGATTTGCATTGGACGTGCAAGTCAACTCATGAGTGCGCACACATCGGAACATCAATACAGATTTGCAACCCAACCGCTTCCCTCTCACGACCTACCTCTATAGATATCACTACCTATCGGGGCAATCATTGGGACAACCATCAAGACAAACATCCCAATGCCGTGAGAACGGCTCCACCGTGTTCTCAGGCGTCGGAGTGCTGCACTCCGTCGTTATGTTGCGCATTCTACTACTGGGACCTGTCATGCCACTAAATGTTGTATAGCTGGCTGGCACCATCGGGACAACCTTCCGTTCCTGCTGATGGCAATACTAAGAATGATGATGCTGCTACTGATGATGCTGCCGCTGCTGCTGGTGATGACGATGATGATGGTAATGATGATGTTGCTGATGATGACGACGACGACGATGACGATGACGATGAGGATGACGATGCTGACGATGATGACGATGCTGTTGTTGATGATGACGGCGCCGATGGTGATGATTGTGATGATGATGCTGCTGATGATGATGATAATGACGATGGCGATAACGATGATGATGCTGCTGATGATGATGATGATGGTGTTGTTGATGATGATGATAACGATGATGATGATGACGACGACGCTGAACATGGTGATGCTAATGGTGATTATGATGCGGACGACGACGACGGTGATGACGATGATGATGACGACGATGACGACGATGACGACGACGACGACGATGATGACGATGACGATGACGATGATGGTGATGATGATGAGGAGGAGGAGGAGGAGGAGGAGGAGGAGGAGGATATGTCGGCGTGCGATGCCATGGAAAAACACGCACTGCCAATCGGTGCTGGTGCTTTGCGCTCCCTGGGGGAGCCACCCTGCTCACCGAATGCATGGCACTTCGCTCGAGGGACGATCCCACCTCACGAACTCAATGGGATCGGGCCCCCCCGCTCCTATGCTATATGAATTGGGAGGAGGGCGGGTGGGAGTGAGCGAGGTGTCAGTCCCTCGGGGGGGGGGTAGCTTGACTACCCCCCTCCCCCGGGTCTGGCCCCCTCGCCCTGGGTATGGACTGGGGGGGCGCGAGCGGTCAGGGCGTCCAAGATGGCCTCAGCGAGAAGGCAAACGAACACGGCGTGACCTCGACTACGGGAAAGCTTCCTATTGCATGGGCACGCTGCTAATCATTGCTTGGCATTGCTTAGTGCTACTGTGCGTTGCTTGGCATCTCTTGGCATTGCTTGGAGTTGTTTTGCGTCATATGGCGGGCATGAGCTGGTTTCGCTGGCGCTGGTTTCGCTGGAGCTGGTTTCACCCCGCTGGTTTCGCCGACGGCTGGTTTCGCCGGAGCTGGTTTTGCCAGCGCTGTTTTCGCCCCGCTGGTTTAGCCCCGCTGGTTTCGCCAGCGGCTGGTTTCGCCAGCGCTGGTTTCGCCAGCGCTGGTTTTGCCGACGCCGTCGTCGCCGCCAGCGTCGACGTTGCCGCCGTCGTCGCCGTCGTCGTCGTCGTCGGCGTCGTCGTCGTCGTGGTCGTCGCCGCCGTCGTCGTCGTCGTCGTCGTCGTCGTCGTCGTCGTCGTCGTCGTCGTCGTCGTCGTCGTCGTCGTCGGGCGTCGGGCGTCGGACCCGAACGGGCGTGTAGGGTCGGGCGGGCGGACCCGAGCGGGCGGGTCGGCTCCGGTCGGGCGGACACTAACAGGCGGGTCGGGTCGGGCGTGCGGGACATTCAAATGTGGGGCGCGCTCGATCGAGCATGCGCGAACCCTAAAAGGCGGCTCGGGTCGGGCGGCCGAACTCTAGCGGGCGGGTCCGGTCGGGTCGGGTCGGGCGTGCGGGACATTCGGGCGTGCGGGACATTCAAATGTGGGGCGCGCTCGATCGAGCATGCGCGAACCCTAAAAGGCGGCTCGGGTCGGGCGGCCGAACTCTAGCGGGCGGGTCCGGTCGGGTCGGGTCGGGCGTGCGGGACATTCAAATGTGGGGCACGCTCGACCGAGCTTGGGCGAACCCTAACGGGCGGGTCGGGTGAGCGGACCCTAGCGGGCAGGTCGGGTCGGGTCGGGCGGGCGGACCCTAACGGGCGGGTCGGGTCGGGTCGGGCGGGCGGACCCCAACGGGCGGGTCGGGTCGGGCGGGCGGGGAAAGTGTGAGAGACATGAAAGTGTGGGGCGCGCTCGATCGAGCATGCGCGAACCCTAACGGCGGGTCGGGTCGGGCGGCCGAACTCTAACGGGAGGGTCGGGTCGGGTCGGGTCGGGCGTGCGGGACATGAAAAGGTGACCGAGCATGCGCGAACCCCAACGGGAGGGTCGGGTCGGGTGAACGGACCCCAGCGGGCGGGTCGGGTCGGGCGGGCGGACCTAGAGGGCGGGTCGGGTCGGGTCGGGCGGGGCGGACCCGAGCGGGCGGCTCGTCTCGGGTGACCCTGGCGGGTCGGGTCGGGTCGGGTCGGGCGGGCGGACCCTAGCGGGCGGGTCGGGTCGAGTCGGGCGGACACTAACAAGCAGGTCGGGTCGGGCGGGCGGGACATTATGATATAGGCAAGCTCCACCGAACACGCGCGAACCCTAACGGGCGGGTCGGGTCGGGCTGGCGGACAATAGCGGGCGGGTCGGGTCGGGCGGGCGGGACATTGAAATGTGGGGCGCGCTCGACCGAAAAAGCGCGAACCCTACCGGGCGGGTCGGGTCGGTCGGGCGGACCCGAGCGGGCGGGTCGTCTCGGGCGGGCGGGACATTTAAGTGTGGGGCGCGCTCGACCGAACACGCGCGAACCCTAACAGGCGGGTCGGGTCGGGCGGGGCGGGCGGACCCTAGCGGGCGGGTCGGCTCGGGTCGAGCGGACACTAACAGGCGGGTCGGGTCGGGCGGGCGGGACATTCAAGTGTGGGGCACGCTCGACCGAACACGCGCGAACCCTAACGGGCGGGTCGGATCGGGCGGGCGGACCCTAGCGGGCGGGTCGGATCGGGCAGTTTCGCCGACGGCAGCTGGTTTCGCCGACGGCAGCTGGTTTCCCGGACGGAAGCTGATTTCGCGGACGGCAGCTGGTTTCGCGGACGGAAGCTGGTTTCGCCGACGGCAGCTGGTTTCGCCGGGACGCGAAGCCAACCGGGCGACAACAGCCGGGCGAAATCAGCCGTCGGCGATACCAGCGGTTGCCGTGTGGCGTTGCATTGCTTTGCACTGCTTGGTATTGTTTGGCAGAGCTTGGCATTGCTTGGAGTTGCTTGGTATTTCTTCGCGTTGCTTGGCGTGGCTTTGCATTGCTTGGCATTGCCTGGTGTTCCTTGGTACTGCTTGGCATTACTTGGTATTGCTTGTTGTTGCATGGCATTGTTTGGCGCTGCTTGGCGTCGGCTAGCAGTGCTTGGCGTTGATAGGCGCTGCTTGGAAACAAGACCAAGCAACCCCCGGGAACGCCATCGTAAGGAAACAAAGCCAAGGAATCCCGAGGAACGCCACCATCAGGAAACAAAATCCAGGAACCCCGAAGACTGCCGACTGGTGCAGGCCTCGCACCCACCGGTTCTCCAAAAGCAGGTAGGAACCCCTTAGGCAGGCTTCATTGAGGAACATGCTGATTTAGCTTAGACGTTGTGCCAATCGAAATGTTGGCCTCATGGGGGGAGGAGGCTAATCCACGCCGCCTCCTGTTACTCGCTGATGCCCCCAAGAGGCTCCAAAGAGACCCCCAAGAGGCCCCAAGAGGCCCTCAGTGGCAGCCAAGACGACCCAAGAGGCCCTGGCAAGAAGACCACAATCATTAATGTTACTACGGTTATGGCCACATTTAGGCCTATTGGGCGGGGGGCCTGATGCACTACGGCCCCTCCTTTGGTCGATCTCCTCCAAGATGGACCCCGAGGCTCCCAAGGGAATCCCAAGACGCACCCGAGAGGTGCCCAGGAGGACCCAAGAGGACCCGAAGATGCCCCCAAGAGGCTCCCACGACACCACCAGGAGTCCCCAATAAGCTCCCCCAGAGGCACCCAAGGCCCCAGGAGGCCCCCCCGACTGCCAAGAGACCCCCAAGACACCCTCTCAAAGAAATCTGAAGAGACTCAGAGCGGCATCCAAGAGGCTTCTGGCCTTTCTGCTCGCCCTCTTCTTCCTCCTCCTCCTCCTCATCATCATCATCAGCAGCAGCATCACCACCACCACCACCACCACCATCATCATCATCATCATCATCATCATCATCCTCATCCTCATCCTCATCCTCATCCTCATCCTCATCATCATCCTCATCATCATCACATCATCATCATCATCATCATCATCATCATCATCTCATCATCATCATCATCATCATCATCATCATCATCATCATCATCATCATCATCATCATCATCATCATCATCATCATCATCATCATCATCATCATCATCATCATCATCATCATCATCATCATCATCATCATCATCATCATCATCATTCATCATCATCATCATCATCATCATCATCATGATCATGATCATGATCATCATGATCATGATCATCATCATCACATCATCATCGTCATCGTCATCGTCATCGTCGTCATCGTCATCGTCATCGTCATCGTCATCGTCATCGTCGTCATCGTCATCGTCATCGTCATCATCATCATCATCATCATCATCATCATCATCATCATCATCATCATCATCATCATCATCATCATCATCATCATCATCCGCCTATTCCTCCTCCTTCCTCCTCCCTCCTCCTCCTCCTCCTCCTCCTTCTCCTCCTCCTCTCCCTACTCTTAGTCCTCCTGCTTCTCCAATTCCTCCTCCATCCTCCCCCTCTATTGGGGTATGACGTTTTACCCAGCCCTTTACTCCACTGCATGCTCCTCTATATCCCTGATCAGGGCGACTTGTCTGGGCATCGTGTTGCATGGGCATCGTGTTGCATGCGATTGAGCTTGCCCGAGTAGCTCTGGCACGTGGGAATCCATCCTGTGATACGTATGCTGGCAACGGCGCGATAATCTAAGGGTAGCTCGCAAACCAGCAGGGGAAAGGTGTACGAACTGTGGAGCTGATCAACCGTAGACAGTGGAGTTGTATGAGAAAGCTTAGCGGGGACCCCGTGGTGAGTCTTCAACACCTCCTTCTGGTCCAAGGAGACCGCAGGCGCATTCAAAATCAACCGACGGGAAGCCAGCACGATACGAGGTGCTGCGCGTGCGCGCTTGTGGAGCTGATCGCAGGCGCATGGCTTTCCAGCTGGGCAGCACGAGGGTCCCCAGCGCGGGCCAAGCTTCTGAACCCGATTCGTCGCTCGCCGTTGCCGTCTCCGTGTTTTTCCCTCCTCCGCCTTCCCCCGGTACTCCTGCTCCTCCTACTCCTCCTGCTCCTGCTGGTCCTCCTGCTCCTCCTCCTCCTCCTCCTCTTCCCCCTACCATCCTGCAATTAATCCTGCTCATCCTCCTGCTCACCCTCCTGCTGATCCACCCCTTGCTCCTCCTCCTAGTCCTGCTTCTTCTCTTCATCCAATGTACAAAGCCTTCCTTCCTGATTGCGCTTCACACAATGGGGTCACGTTGAGGATCTAGGCAAACAATATCATCGGGAAGAAAAGAAATCAGGAATACGGGAAGGGACGGGATGTGTGGGAGGACAGAATGTCAGGTATGACGTGAACACCCATGGCTTGTCCCCTCCCCCTCTCCCGCTTCCGCCTCTCCTCCCCCTCTCCCCCTACTCCTTTTCAATGTTTTGTTTCATGCATTCGGCATGGATCTCTAGCCTAACTGCGCTGGACTCCCCCACCGACCCTTCCGACACCCACTCCTCCGCCTCAATCTCTCCAATTCGCCAGAATATCTACATACATCCCGCTCACCCTCAAAGTTCTTCCTCGCTGCACCTTTCGCTTCCCAGTGGACACCTCGCCATCGCCCGGACGTCCCTTCCCTGTGCATTTGTCGGCATCGTTCGTATACTTTCTCGCAAGTTGACCCAAAAGGGTCCTCGATGGTCCTCGCCGAGAGGGAATGCACACGTCCGAGCGATGCCAAGACAAGAAGCAGAGTATAGCCTGACATGCACTCAGGGTGACGATCGTGCACAGGTGGTCCGGACCAAGGACCTGGCTCCCCATTCTGCCACTGCTGCTGCTGCGGCTGTCGCCGCTGTTCCTCCCGCTCCAAGGAGCAGAAATACCGTGGAGCTGAAACAACCATTACAAATGGCATCGAACGACCAATCATACATCATCATGGTGCATGGAAGCCTGCTTCCGTCGTTCCTCACTCCTCCTTAGAATCCCCCATCTTCCCTCTGCGCCTTCTGCTTCTTCGTTTTTCCGCCTCCCTTCCACATTCCATGGCCCTTATTGCGCTTCCTTGAAGCCCAGCAATCGTCCCACCCGACCCATTCGCCATCCGCTAGTTCACTCTACTTCTCCTTGCATCACGCGTCCTTGCCGTTTCTCCAACGACAACTCTAAATACGCTTCCGCTGATTGCAGAGCCCGGGTGACGGGTGCACATTTGGGCGAGAAACACTTGAGCACACCCAAGAGCCAACAGTCAGCCGTTGCTCCCAAGAGCTGTCGGGATGCATGCCAGACGTCAGCAGGAGGCAGCGGAGCACAGCAGGAGCAAGATGAGGAGCTCTCACGCTGGATCCTGGGGCTGCCTGGCGTGTCCGAGCCCTCAGCTGGGCTCCCGAGGCCAAGGACACCCCTCCTGGAGCCTGGAAGTGAGACACCCCAAAGAAGAGCGCAGCCTCGCCGGAAACGAGGGGAGGCGCTGCTTCGCGTGTTTTCGAGCCCAGGAGGTGCCATGAGGTACTACCAGTTCTGCACACTGGGAGGCGCCTGCTGGGAGGGCGGTCTCCGGTTTCAACCCGGCTCCAGGGTACGCAAGCATGAGATGATGGAACTCCCCCCAACGTCTCACGATGCTCGGCAGGGATGACAACGCAGACCCCCTCGAGTGGCCCAGAACTTTGCAAACAGCGTCGCTGCTCCTCTGTGCCCTTAGGCTCGCGCTCCGCTGGACCAGCTCAGCCTGTCCTTTCTTCGGGCAGGGCGCTGCCAAGGCCGAACTATTTCCTGCAACGCTGGCTTCATCTGATCAGCTTCCCTGGCGCACCGCATGTAGCACGCCTGCAATGATTCCTGGGTCAATGGCGCGCAAGGTGCATGGGAGGTGGAAGGGCGCTGCAGAAAGAGAGAGAGAGAGAGAGAGATGGGGCACCAGCAAGACCAGACCAGGAGGCCAGAGGATGGAGGTCTGGCAGGTGCTTGCTGCAACATGCCTCCAACAAACTCGGCTTGCATGTCCATGTCCTTACGCACTGCTTCTTTTGCCATCCTTCCCTCTCATGTCATGTCGTACCCCTTGTCCCAAGTCCCCTGCCTTGGGTCCCCTGTCCCGGCTTGTCTTGCCCCCGCTAACATCATCTCCCCTCCAGTGCCCCATCCCGTCTCCCATTCCGTGCGATACGCATCCCGAGCGCATCTGATGAATTCCAGTTTGCAGAGTCACGCGGGTGCCTACAGGGCAGGTCGGGCCCCCCTCTGCTCACGAGACCACCCTGCGCCGACCGCGGGGGCCGAGAAGCAGGCCGAGGCCTGCGCAGCTTGTGCTCGTGCGCCAAACCCGCTGGGGGCAAGACGCAGCAGCATTGCTACCGTGCTTGCATCTGTCGGCGAAGGATGGGACGAATAACCGCAGGTCTCGTGGCAAACACATGTTCGACAGTGGAACAGCGGAGCAAACACCCAACAGCACTCGCAGGATCGACAGTCTGCCAGGGTCGTCCTGCACATGGACGCTCCTCAGCCCTGGCCCTCACTACTTCGGGAGTTCAATACCGCATACGGCTAATCCCCTGGAATGCTGACTGAAACATCGAACTTGACCAGGAACAAGCAAAGCGGATGCCCGCGCTTGCGTGCAGACGGTGACTTCCATCAGATCTGCGACCCACGCGCTCTCACAACAGGTAAGCAGGTGCACGGATGACACGGGAGGCTCCACGAGTGCACCGACCAGCGAGATGCCCCCTCTGCTCCCGCTCCTCCTCATGCGCGCGCTCCTCCGGATAGTGGACCCAGGGCCAGGTACTGGCCAGCATGGATCTGCATAGCCGCGCCCGGCCTCCCCCGCGGTTCGGTCCACCCGCGGCTGGGCAGCAGGCGAGGAGGGAGGACGGTGCGCGCAGGAGCCGGGGCCGCGACGGCGGAGCGCAGGGCGCCCGCTCACATCACGACGAGAGCTCGACGGCGCCGAGTGTGGCAGGGTGGCCCCTGAAGCCCCTCTGGACTGCCTCGGGGCCCCCACGTGGTGTCTCCAAGAGCTCCCGGGCCTCTCATGATCCATCCCAAGGAAGCCCGTGGACGACCCCTCACATGCCATCAGTACGGACCCCCCCACACACATACACACACACACACACACTCTTACACTTTTTCACATTAGCGGCCCCATGAGAGACACCAATCGAGCGGCACAGATGCATCCACCTATGCAGCGACACACGCACACACGCTCGCTTCGAAAGCATGCGAGCCTCCGAACAACATCTGCCCCCCCCAGGAGGCCTTGAAGGCGCCCGTGGTCTTTTTGAGTATCGTTTAACCGATCCCTATCCCCACTGGCGTGGCCTAGGCCCCAATGGCCAATGGCCTACTTACCCACGGAGGTGGGAATACAGATGTATGCCGATTGCTTCGAGCCTCGCGGGGGGTGGGCTGGTGAGGCTGAGATTACTGGCCATATGATACCATATGGGAATGGAGATAAATTAGACTACTTTTCTGTGGAGAGGACTGCATATGTAGCCAGAACCATCGCGCGCGCTTCGCGCGCCCTCACGGTCGGTCTAGCTGGCTCGGGTGCAAGGGCACAGCGCGGAAGAGGGACCAGGCCACGATAATCTGGAGCAGCAGGACGTCAAGGGCATCTTGGGGCCATCTTATGGGGCCTTTGCAGATAAACACCATCGAGCTGTTTCCGGCGAAAGGTTGAGATCTCATACTTCGTCCAACAGCCATGGATGTCTCGGGACATGAAAGGAGTTGTTATGCTCGAATGGCCCCCTTGGCGCAATATTGCGGCATCCTGGAGGAGGGAGGCGAGGAGGAAGAAGGGAGGGCGGATCAGAAGAGCGAGGAGCATGCAGGAACAGGAGCGCTGAGAATGCGATGGGAGGAGGAGGAGGAGGAGGAGGAGGAGGAGGAGGAGGAGGAGGAGGAGGAGCATCGAAGACGCCTACGGCGAGTCGCCGCCGCCCCCTCTGCCTTTGCAAGAAGCGTGCGAGGCCAAATGCTGCGGAACCGCATCGCACGTGTGGGCGACAGACTCCACCCGTATGGCACAGGCGGCCCGGATCAGTAGGTCGACCCTGCCAGATCAAGGGTACCCTCGTGTCCTGTGTCTTGCGACCCACGCCTCCTGCATTTCGGTGGCAACGTGGCCCTCGGAAGGGTCTCGTGTCCTCTCGCGTGCCCTCTCCAATCAAGTCCGACTGCAAGGACGCAGGATAAGCATGCAAGGGCATTGGATGGCCGTGTCGACACTTTGCCAGCGGGGCGCGGCCGGCGAAAGCGGCCAAGGACGGGTCGAGGGGGAAGGATGCAAGGGCAACCTTGGGAAATCGCTCATTCTTACTATATGCGGGTTGACTGAAATCAATGGAAGTCTCACTCAACTGTGGTTGAATGCTGGGGGCCCGCTTTGGGCGTCTGGGAGCTGTCTCGGAGCTCTTCGGGGGGCTTCTTGCGAGCCTCCTGGAGTTCTCCTGGGCCCCCCTTGGAGCCCTCTTGGGCTATCTCGGGGCCCTCTTGGGCCGTCTGGGGCCTCTCGAGGCCGTCTTGGGGGTCTACTGGGTCCGTCGTGGAGCACTCTTGGCGCCCTCTTGGGGGTCTATTGGCGCCTCTCGAGGTCGTCTTTGGAAAGTGTTTGGGCCAGCTGGGGACACTCTCGGGGCCATGTGAGGCCGTCTGGAGCCGATCTTGGGGGCGTCCTGGGCAGTCCTGGACGCTCTGAGGACCGAAGGCGCGGGGATGGACAGAACCGCCTTTGGTAAAACGTGGTTTAATGAAAACGACCTCGGGCCCAAACCTGGCGGGCGCAAGCCTGGAAAATGACTGCCGCGGCGCCCTCTCGAGAACCGAAAACGGACAATTCACGAATCGACGTGTCAGGTCGGGGTTCTGTCCACCCCGACATCCTCTCAGAAAACAAAGGAAATCCATGACTTGGGCCTCTCAGGGGTAGTGACGCTCTTTGGATCGTCTCGGGAGCCTCCAGGGCAGTCTTGGAGCCCTCCTGGGCTGCGTTTAGGTCCCATCGGGCCGCCTTGCGGCATCTTGAAGCTGTCTGGGGACGATCTTGGGCTGTCAAGGAAGACGACCCTGTGCTCCGGGTCCTGGTTCGGGGGCCCTGGTCTCCCATGCTGCGGTCGGGTCAACGGCCTGGGGGCCTCTGGTCCTGGCCCCCCAATTGTATGTCTGTGCGCTCTCTCTTTCTCCCGGAATGCCCTGGAGGCCCCCACGCGTTCCTCATACAAGGTGGCGGGCGGCATCAAAGAAAATCTACACTGGGCCACTAGTGCGGAGAATGCCTTGAAGGGGGGAGGCGGGATGACTGAGGGATGAGACCAACGTCCCAGAAGCTCCAAGCCACGCCCTCAAATCTCCCAACTGGAAATATACAGCACACCCAGAATGGAGGAACAACGCCTCCAGAGCTGGGTTGAAATTGAATGTTGTGTGGTGGTGCACCTCGGGGCCGACGACGACAACGACGACGCCCCGCGGCGGCGGCGGCGGCGGCGCCGTTTCCGCTGCCTCGCGGCGGCTGGGCCCGCGAGGGCGCCGCCCAGCCGCCGAGCGCCGCGGCCGTGCGCGCGCGCGCCGAGCGGCTGCGCACGGCGGCGCCTGGTCGCCCTAGTCGCCGTCCTGGAGTTTTCGCCTGGCCGGCCCGGCCGCGCTGCACGGCACTCACCTCTTCCCCCCTCCCCTGCCCTGCCCCCATCCCCTGCCCCCTCGCCTGCCCCCTCCCCCTCCACAGCCCCCTCTCCCCAGGCCCCTCGCCTCCACCACCCCTGCACTCACCTCTCCCCTGGATGACCCCTCCCCTGCCCCCTCCTCCCCCCCCTGCCCCCTCCCCCTTCACCCTCCATCCCCGTCCCTCCTTCCCCGTTCCTCCCTCCTCCTCTCCCCTGCCTCCGCGGCCGCTTTCGCCCGACCCTGCGGCGCCCCGGCGGCGCGCCATGCAGGCTGCATTGGCTGTCGCGCTCGTCCTGGAAATGCTCTCTCCTTGACTCTTGCTGTGATTCTTCCTCGAGCCCGCAGCACCTCCTCTCTGCGCACGGAGGTGAAGGACGGTCTTCGACGCTACAGTCGGGGCTGATTGGAAAGAACACGCGAGAGGACACAAGACCCTTCCGAGGGCCACATTGCAGTAAGAACGCATAAGGCACGGGTCGCGACACGCGGGACACAAGTCACGAGGGTAATGACTCTTGATTCCGCAGGGTCGACCCACGAGTCATTATCGGCTACCCGCGATAGCGACCCTGGGCAAGAGTGCCCTTTGGTAAGCGGCTCTCGGGGGCCGCCGGGGAGGCCAAGTGCAAGCCATCCGAGCGCGACCCCCGATGCTGGCGGGACCCCCGTGGGCCCGCACGAAAGGTCACTCTGGCGAAGGGTCACTCTTGATGGGCCTATGTTCCACCACCACCACCATAGGTAGCACGGGGGAGAGGGGAGGATGGGGAGGTCCTCCTCCTCCTCCCCCTCCTCCCCCTCCCTCCTCCTCCCTCCTCCTCCTCCTCCCCCTCCTCCTTCTCCTCCTCCTCCTCCTCCTCCTCCTCCTCCTCCTCCTCCTCCTCCTCCTCCTCCCTCCTCCCCTTCCTCCTTTTCCTCCTCCTTTTCCTCCTCCCCCCCTTCTACCTGTGGCAGCGGTGGTGGAGCATCGGCCCGTCAGCTCCTGCGCGCCGCCGAGCGTGCCCCTGGCCGCCTGCCGCCTGCCCGGCCTCCGAAGCCGGCCTCCGCTCGGCACGCCGCCCGACCCCGTGCGAGAGAGTCGCTTCCGCGCCCCGCCGGCGGCGCTGGCCTCCGAGCCGCTCTGCGGGAGCGTTGGGCCGGCGCGCCCGGGAGCTGCGCCG